CCTAAGCTACTATATAAGCAGCTGCTGGATGTCTGTGAAATGTGTGTTTGGTTCCTTGAAGAGGAGATGGTATCTCGATGTATTCATGCTTCTTGATCTGTTTAATGCTATTTACTAGAAATGCTGCTATCTTTTATGATAGCTTGTGTTTTATCTCCTACACACCTTTGTTTATGTAAACCACAAAAGAGTTGCTGAAGAAATTATTCCCCTTTTTCTCTGTTATCTTAATGTGAGAGGAAATTGAGGGAGAAGAAGGCCAGGAAGGAGGGAACAAATTAATGTCTGCAATGCATGTTTACTTCCCCATGGATGTGGGCTGGTTTGTGGTCTTTTCCCCTCTTTCCTCATCTTCTTGAGGAGTACTGCCTTGTACATTACGTGGACACTGATTCCTTTGATACAAAGTAAGGATCTTGCCCTTCTGCCCCCATTACTGCTGTTCAGGCTTTACAAGGGATAAATATTAGGCAGTGTTGTACCTGTGGGAGATGGTGGGCTTCATTTTTGTCCTGTGAGTGTATGTTGCGTAGAAGGGATCCTCTCACCTGAGCAATTTCTCTTGTGGAGGGGGAATTGATGCCTTCAGGAAGGGGGAGACTTCAGGGTGAGCCCGGAGAGAACCATTAACTCCCAAGAGGGGAGTATCTTGAGTTTGTGGGTGGTTCTCACCCCAGCACGTTGCATGTAGGCTGGCTTGCCCTGCAGTGCTTGGGGAATGGGCTTGTTTTTGCAGTGTATCAGGATGCTGCCGCTGCAGCATCCCTCTGGGGTGGTTCTGCTGGAAGGGGTGAATTGTGCTGCAGCAGTGTGTGGGACTTGGAGCTGACACAGCACGTTTTCCAGGCTCAGCAAAGCCTGTCACTCGTTTGATAATTCAAGTATAGTTATGAAGTGTCGTCTGGGGCTCTTGACTTCCCTTCATTCCTTTTTCAGTGATTTCTTAGAAAGCCAGTTTTCTGAGCATGACTGTTTCATTTTAGTCTGTGTCACATCTTTAGACAACTGGGACCAGTGCTTCTGGTGGAGAAGTCAGCACTGCCATTCACCTCGCAAAACCTGAGTCTTATTTTACTTCAGAGGTGTTCATTTGATCAGACAAACCCTTGTCCCTTAGGCAGAGCTGGAGAAGAGGGCCTTTGTCTTGGCAGGAACAGGCAGATGCTGTGGAGCCTGCGGCGCAGCTGGATTGCAGCCAAATACTACCTTCCAAGCTATCCTGAATCCACCGTGCACCCGGATATAAGGGCTCTCCTCTGTTTGCTTACCGCCGGGTGATGTCTGTAGGTGTTCTGTGTTCCCCAAAAGCACCTGGGATATAGGCGAGAGCAAATGTCCACCCAGATTGGTGGTAGAACTTTGAGGCTGTAACTTACTTTCTCTCCTTAAACAGGAGCACTGCTAGTTTGTTTGTCTTCTCAAGGCTCAGGGGGAAGGGGAGGCGGAAGATAAGGTTACAACTGTCTTATATCCCTAACTTTTTAGAGGTTAAAATCCCAGCTGGACACATCTCTGCTATGTAGAGAGAATAGTTTAATAATTCAAGCAGAGTCCTTGTACCAACACACGTCTGCAATTAGTGCTGTAACTGCCAGCGAGGTGTGAGGATAGCAGAAAGCTGGCAATGGGGCTATCTAGAGAGGTATTACAAATGAGGAAGAAAAGAAAAAGAAGAAAAAAAAGGCATGTTTTCAATGCACCTTTTCTCCTTTGTTTTTTTTAAAGGTGAGCTATCCGGATGAAATGTGCCAAGCTGAAAGCCACAGACAAAGAATTTCTTTTGCAAGCAAATATGTATACAGGCTGTAAGGGTAAAGTCTCAGTTTCCTCCCTGAAGTGCCCTTTCCTGTTCCCCAGAGAAGGGGGTTTGGTTGCTACCATATCAGAGTTGAGGGTTACTTTGTGGCTTTCCAGCCCTGGAAGTGGCTGATGGCTGCAAAGTTGCAAGTGGAAGCCCAGAGGGGAGGATGGAAGGGACGGGAAGGAGGCTTGGCAGTGGGAACTTGCTTTGAAAAGGCAGAGGGAACAGCTTAGGTGTAGGTGGAAGTTTTGAAGAGCTGGAGGCCTAACTGCTCCTGGGTGGTTTCTGCTGTAGCTGCTGCTCAGATGCCTTCTCTGTTTAATTCTCTGGGAAAATGGACGTGCTTTCAATGAGACAATTGTTTTATTAAAGAAAAAAAAAATCAAAATGAGCTAACTTTAAGCATTCAGTGCAGTAGGAATGTGTATGACATATGATGGATTCCTGTAAATCAAGGATGGTGTTTTTTTGTAATCACTGAGTGAGAAGTCCAGATTCTTAAACTTGTCTGTGCACAGAGTTCAGTAGCTATGTGGTCTGACCTGAGGCAATTTTTTGAGGCTTCCCTATGGACTGGTATTCTGAGTTGTATCACAGACCATTAAAAATAAGATTAAAATTTATAATGAAACTAGAGAATCATTTAAATAACCTGATTGACCTTTTATGTGCTATCAGACAATTCTGTTGTAAATGCAGATTGTTTTCTTCCTCACAGTTTGCTGCTGTGCAGCTGCATGTGAAAAGGAGAAAGCACATAATGCTGACGAACATGTTGAACGTCCTTCCCCACCCTAAGGTCTTCTTTTTCTCTGGCTTTGGGAAGTTGAATGTGTGTTTCCTTCTTTGATTTTCCTGAAGTGGTTTTAGGAAGATTCCTTATTCAGAAAGGGAAAAATAATACAAATTATCTAATGCAGCTACCTTTAATCATATGGAAGAAGTGAAATGACATTTGATATTAATTTCCATATCAAAGCAGTAATAGACAGAAGGCTAATGGAAATCTTTATTTGTCAGTTTGCCAGAAATAGCCTGTTCAGCCTGTGGTCATTTTGTCTTTCAGTTGAGTCTATTAAATTAGAATATCTAAGTGGTGTCAGGTTAAGTCAACACTTAGGTATGATATTTTCAAGCCTCAGATGGGATGACACTGGTGACACTAGCTGTGTGTAGAAACCAGGGTATAAACTCTGTTTGCAGCCCTAGTTCAGTATCTGCAAGTCATCAGTCAGAATAATCTATGCAAGAGCTAGAAAGAGGAAAATACACAAACAAATAAAATTGACTCTCACCATTAGCCCAAATAAAGGGTGTAGACTGGGGGAAAAAAATTGTCCTTAAGAAAAGGACTACTTTTTTATAGGCTTGTCCTCAACTTTTGTCGTAATGGGGGGGCATTTCTATCTCTTGTTTGCACTTTAATGAGTGCCTGCCCTGTTTTACTCACTGTCTTTATTGATGCCCCAGGGTGTTCAACTATTCTTGAGCATCCTTTTTCATCTTTGCATAGTGGGGAATTGTAGTTTATACATTTATCCTTGCAGATGTTGGGAGGCAGCCCTGGATGTCATGGGCTAGTGAGTCGTTCAGTATCAAAATTAAAATAAACAAGTCTTTTTAAGGTGATCATGACCCTCTTGCTGAGTCATCTGAGAGTTTGTTTAGTACTGTTACCATTTACAGTAAGTAAATATGAGGCTACAAATCTGTTTTGCCATTTGTAAAGGCTTTCCTTCAGCTAGCTTGCAGTTCCAGCATAGCAGCTGTGGTCCTCTGTTTATTGCCTTATGTTTAGTAAATATTTTCTTTTCCTCAGTGTCAGTCAGAATTGACTGAAGCCTTATTGATTGTGAAAGAAGGCACAGTTAGCATTCGAGAGCATCTCAGAAGAGGTGCTCAAACTTCCAGGGGACTCTGGAAGCTGGCAATCCTCAGTGTTTTCCAGCATCAGGCTTCAAGGCCACAGGTGCTGCTGGAGCTGTGAAATGTGTGTGCGTGGGGCTGTAAACATACCGCTTGTCTCATGGGTTTGTACAATATTGACTTGTTTAATTCTTAATTTAGCCTTCAGGAAGCTGAATCTGGAATTTCAGTGTTTGTTTCTGCAGGAGAGTGCAAGATAAGAGCCAAGATCAATACTGCTTGCAAAAACAGAGCAAATCAAACAGACATAGACTTTCATAGGATCATCACCAGTCAACAAAGACTCCTATATAGGATTGTAGAGAATGCCTGGTTGTTCAGAAAAGCTTGTTACAATTCATTGTACAAATATTTTTGTACAAAAATAGGATTCTTTGTGTGACTGTGATGAACAGGAATGGTTTGTTGCAGTGCAGTTTCTTGGTCTGTTAAAGGTATAATCTTCTGGCCTTGGAAACAGAACCAAGAAGAGTTTTGGCTATTGATGGGAACTGTGCTGAAATCTCAAGGAAGTAGATGGCAAGAGTTGGTTTGTGGTTATTTTGAATAAGAAAAAGTGGTAATTAGTACTGGCTGTCAGGAGCTTTAGCTCTGGGGCCTAGAAGATGGATACGGGTTCTAGTTCTAGGTGGAATGTGACTCCTAAAATAGATACATAAATCAACCAAGAAACCTGTTTTATGGCAAATGTGTTAATTGCTTCGCTAGGGATGTGCATGGACCCGTTTTCCTAGAGCGCACTGTATGTTCTGCACAGCTAAAATAGTCATATGTGGTGTCAGAGTCTGTCTGAGTATATCTCTTTTTTCTTCTCTGCTTCAGTGAACATTAACCCAATATATTCTATTCTGCACATAAAGTGTTCTGGTGATAAATCCTGCAGGATCATTCACTATTGTCTGGGTTAAATATGCTTTCCAGGACATGGTTTTTGGTAGCATGCTGTAGTCAGTGCCTTTGGTGGGGTGAAGAGGCTGCTTCAGGACATGACTACCATGCTTCTATTTAACATTTTCATTACAAGTTAATCACAGGCACTTCTGTTGTAATGTATGCTTCTGAGAGGACTTTTTGTCCTAGCTGTAGCTCTTCAGCTTAAAGTAGTGATTGGAGGAGGAGGAGGAGGTTGTTAGGCAGGGCTGGTAGATCCTGCCACTGACTGGCACGGATGCCTGGTGCAGATACTAGAATTGTTCTGATCAATGCTCTCCTGTTGTTGGCATGACAGACAAGCAAGGAGATGAACTCCCCCTCCTCTTTCTTATCTCCACAGCACTTCACAGAGTTCCTGGATGAGTTTTCACCTGATGTCCTAGGCCAGCTCTTGAATGATCCCTTCTTGTCTGAGAAGAATGAAATAATGGAGGTGGAACTGTCTCCGGCATCCCCAGCACCCCTCATCCAGGCAGAACACAGCTACTCCCTCTGTGGGGACTCTCGACCCCAATCTCCCTTGACCCACATCTCGACTGATGACAACTTTAATGAAGGTAGTACCCACTGAACTGTTGTTTGTCATCATGATGCAGCAATTAAATGTTCCTGATGAGGTCATGATGTGCTCAAGGTGCATGTTAATGCTCTTTGCCAATTGATATACCTATAATGAAATCACAGAAGGGCTTTTTTTTTGTTTGAAGTAGATAGGCATTGTGAAGAAAGAAATTTGTCCATAGACAGGGAAATTGTGCTTCGCAGAAGTTCCTAACTGTACTATAAACATCTTATATTAGAAGTACCTATCAAAAAGTAATGTGAGAAAGGCCAGAAATGCGCTTGTTTTCATGTATCTGAATCTGTGGTTGTTGAAGAAAAATTGAGACTGATAAACCAAATGAGTCAAATGAGAATCACTGTGAAGTCTGGGTACTGAAGAATATGATATGTAAGCAAAAGGGTAATGTGGGTTTTGTTTGGTCTTCTGAGAAAAAGCAAAGTGGTGATCTTACTGCTGTCTATGGCTATCTGATGAAAGGTTGCAGAGAAGACAGAGCTGAACTCTTCTGAGATACGTGATGATAGCACAAGAGCTTGCAAGTTGCAAGAAAGGAAATTCCAGTTGGCTGTTAGGAGGATCATTTTCACCATGAGAGTAAATCAGACATTCAAACAGGTGTCCAAGGAAGCTATGAAGTCTTTATCTGTGGGGATATTCAGAGGTGAGCTAGGCAAGGCCCTGAGCAACCTGATCCAAATTGGCCATACTTTGAATGAGGAGTTGGCCAAGATGGTCTCCAGAGGTCTCTTCAAAATTACATAATTTCTTGTTTATTAAAACCAAGCAAATAGACCTTTTAAACTACCCTTATTTTTAGTAGTGAGCGTCTGGAGATTTCTGGTATCCCAAAACGAAAATCATGTAATTTTACTTGTTTCTAAATACATGCATAGGGATGTAACTTCGGCTGTCTTGCTGAAGTCTTGCAGTCTTTCTGGAAAAGGAAAAGGCAAAAAAGTTAAAAAAAAAAGGCAAAGAAAGAAAAAAGCACATCAAGAAGTTATTGGTGATCTTGTAAAGACATAATTGCAGTCTTACATAGATTCTGTGGTTGCGGGAAATGGTGATACACATAAAACTAATAAAACCAAGAGCATTTTGTGGCAGTTATCATTAATTCAGCAGTATAAACATCTGGAGAAACAAAAAGGGAAATGCAGGAATGGTCGAAGACGTCCAACCTCATTCTTTTGGTGTGAAAGTGCCTGCTGGCAGGAAGGGGAGTTCAAGGTGAAAGTTAGTGGTTGGTGGAGGAGCAAGGCCATAAATATGTTGTAACTATTAGGAATAATCACCATGGCAGACTTTCACTCCTAATAATTGGTTTATGTCTTCAACTTTAGCTTTACAGTAAAAAGCAGTAGAGTATTAAGCTGCATCACAATAAAAGGGAGAGAGATTAGTGCTTAGTCTAAGCATTAACAAGCTAAGCTGTTTATGAAGATCCACCAGGACATGAGTTTTCAGAGGCTGACAGTTTTGTACTCCAAAGCGCTCTTAAAACAAGATGTGCTCTGTTAGAGATTTCACAAGAGGACAACTAATAAAACCTGTGAGAAGCCTTTTCAATGGTAACATCATCTATATAAAGTCTTCCTATTTTGTATTTCCTAGCTGTTTTATGTGAATGTCTTTAATTTAATACATACAGGAGATATTAATTGTAGCAGGAGAAACAAGCACAAGAATCTTCCAAAAAGGAAGCTTCTCTGAAAGTTAACGGGGAGAAGCTTCAAACTAGGCTAAAAGTGAGGGGAGTTTCCTTTGGGGAAAAGTCCTGAAGAAATTCATACTGCTGAGACCACTGGGTAATTAATAGAGCGGTAGTCAAATGGTGCTTTAAAAAGCCAAGAAACATTAACAAGTGGGTTTAAAAATAGAAAATGAATGGAAAGCATTTCATGTTCTGTTCACTCTGCAGAGTGTTTCATAAGAGAGGAGGAGGAGGAGGAGGAGTTTTTCTTGGTCTATGGGATTTTATTTAATCTTAACCTTTCAATACCTATTGACTTCAAAGCAGTGAAGCTCAGAGAAATACTTGAGGAAGATGCAGAATTACAGTTCACACATGGCTGGCTGATAGGTGTTCAAAATCATCACCCTGACAGTTTCAGTCCTTGAGTCCATGGGATTTCACACTGCAGGGTTTCACACTGTAGACTGAAAGCATCTCTGCTGTTATGTGGTGGAGGCACTCAGTGCTCCTGACAGCTCTTGTGAATGCCAGTCCCAAGGGTGTAGTAAGGGGACAGAGATTGGGAGCACCAGTGTTTCTTGGGGGGGAGCAGGAGGTACAAGGTGTGGAGGGGCAGTTTAGTATGCTCCAGCATGATCTCTTACTCCTGGGTAGGTGGGAGTGGTTTTGTGGAGTGGTAGGGGCTGAAAAATGGGGTTGGCTGAGGGACATATAAAAATTGTGCAAAATATTACATTGTCCATATAAGCACCCCACTGCAGATTGGTGAGTTCTTACAGCTGTCGTGTTTCCATGGTTTTTCTGTGACTAGGCTTCATGATTCTGCAGGACCCTGCCCTGCAGGACTGGGCTTAGAAACAGGCTAGTGAGGATGCTCATGGATGACCCTTGCATGCATGTTTGCACATGTGCTATGGACACACGTGCTGTGGACCCATGTGCCTACAGTCAGCAGCAGTGCAGCCGTGAGAGGAGGATGGCACAGAGCAGTTAAACTGGGTCTGGATGGCATTGCAGAGCTTAGCCCTTAGCTCTAGAGGACCAAGGTTCTGCTTGTGCACAAAGCCTGTGACAAACAGGCTTTCTTTTTGCTTTGCAGTGAAGTCAGTAATGTAATGTTTCTTCTTTGTAACTCTCAGCAGTGCTCTTGGCAATGAGAGGCTGGTGGGTTTTTTCCCGGAGAGTGCAGAAATACCATCCCCTCCTAGGCCAGTGGGCATTCATGGGCAGGCAAGGAGGGAAGGAGAAGAGCAAGGAGGGGAAACACCAGGATTTTCTAGGTCCAGGCCCCTTATCCCATATGGCCAGATAACCCACACTTGGAAGTGGTGCCTGTTACACACCTTATTGTCACTGTCACACCAGCAGTTACTCTGTTAGTGTGACCTGGAGCTGCTAACTCCTTTCAGCAAAGGCAGCTCTTCAGGTGCCACGTGCTAGTGTATGTTGAGATGCCAGCTGGCTCCCCATACCACTTGTAACTCAGTGCATGTTAATTGTGTGATGCTGATCAGCTGCTCAGCCCTCAGGTGCTGTTTCTGTGCCAGGAGTGGGTCGGTGGCTACCAAGCTGTATGCTGGTCTGGCCTGCCAGTGAGTGGTGCACTGCCAAACAACGATGGGGGACAAGAGTGTCTTCTACCACACAGGTCTGGTGTCCTAAAGGGAAACCTATCTGCCTGCCTTTAAAAACAGCCTTAAAAACTGAAGTTTGTTTCCATGGCGGCAAGTCTGTTGGAGGTGTCCAGGAGGCAGGAATGAGAGCAGGGTGTGTGGCCTATCCAGGGGCAGGGTCCTGCCATCTGCTGTCAGGCCGGCCCCATGTTTTGTTGCTCCAGCAACCTGCCTTTATGTCCTCCTCTTTCAGTCCATGCCAGCCTGTTGGAGAAGAGAATTGGATTTTCGAGTTGTGTCCATCTGGTTCAGTGGCACCCAACATCTACAGCAGTTTTCATCTGTGTATTCACAAGTGTGGGGTTCCAGAGCCCAGGAGTATGGGGAAGCTGAGAAAAAAACCTGTCTTGCTAGGCACGTGATCTTCAAGGCATGTTTAAGCCAGTCAGTGCCTATTTCTGTCTTTGGTCTCCAGCAACCTTACTGAAAACATTATTTAATGCTTCCTTTCAGCCATTGTGGTGGAAAGAACAGTCACTCTTGTCTCCGTAAGCACCTTATTGTCCACTGTTGCAGGGGAACAATTAACTTCTGCCGTGAGCTGTTCTTGTTGGCCACTACGTGGCTATTACCACAGTTTCTATAATTGCTAAATTGACCTATTCATGTAATTGTGGATCTTAGTTATATAAATAAAGTTTTTTTAAAGAAGTGCTAGAAGTGTAAAACCTGTCAAACTCATAATGCTGGGTTTAACTTCTCCAGTAAGTGCTGTTGACCTCAAGGTGAGAGCACATTTATGTGTCTGTAGGATGAAAGACCCAACACCAGTTTTCCCGTTATTCACTCTTCCAACTTCACTGTATTGAGGCTCTTTCCTAAGCTTTGTGCAGAAGAACTTCCCTGAATACTTGCAGCTTGTTGCTAGTGTGGGGTCTCTGAGGGTGTCAGTTGCTAAATGTCTAGTTTATGAAAGCATTGGCAAGAGCAACTATTTTAAAGCACATGTGTTCAAGACATCTGGCATTTAGTTATTTGGTTTCCCACCACCCTCGAGAATCTATTCTTATATTCAATTTTGCATAAACTTTTAAGACTAATGATACTAGGCAGAGATTTATAAGCCTGACCTTCTTGCTTGTAGCAGGCTGTTTGGACTTTTGTTTGCCTGATCTGATGAATAAGGCATCTGACCTGAGGAGGGGCTCCAGGTTGTAACATAAAAAAGGAGGCTGTATCCCATGTACTGATGATCCCCAACGGTTGTGCCGCTGCCTCTCTCACAGCAGGTTTCCTCTTTCTAGCTGTGAGCCCTGGGGTTTTTGAGAAAACTGTAGAGTAGCTGTGGAGAAGCACACTGGGTATTTGTGAACTGGAAAATGCTCTTGGAACGAAATGAAGAAGCTGGGCGGGGAGGCTGAGAATAGGGCGGATGGATAAGGGAGACCTCCTGCTGTGCTTCAGGGCCTTTTGGGACACAGATTCACTTCTGACAGTTGTAAACAGTTACGGGGAAAAGATTTATTTTCTATTACAGTTGGTGCATGTCTTTGTTCAGTTTTCCAGTCTCTGCAGCCTTTTGGAAAGGGAGGGCTGTGGGTCAGAGAACCAGGAGCAAGGCAAAATCTGAGTTTCAGCCTCCTATCTGACTTGAGATGCAAGTTTGGGGTCCTTTCTTGCCTT